TCTTCGGTAATGCGACGGTGGCAGGCTACTAACGGTATTGACAGGTCAATGGTTCTGCAAGCGTGCACAACAGCCAGATGATCAATGGCGTTCTGAAGAATGAGCTGGGCTTTCAGGGGTTCGTCATGAGCGATTGGTTTTCGCAAATGTCTGGTGTCGACGCTGGTAAATCATGTCCCGCCTAGGCATGCTGCTCGCCGACTAACATGGAACAGCAATTGCGGGCCTCGATATGGCCATGCCCGGAGATACCCAAGTGCCCCTGTTCGGTTACAGCTACTGGATGTACGACCTGACCCGCTCCGTCCTGAACGGCTCGGTCCCCATGGATCGTCTAAACGACATGACCACGCGCATTGTCGCGACATGGATCAAGTTCGGACAAGACAAGGGCTTCCCCAAGGTCAACTTCCATCTGCTGTCCAACGACGCTGTGGGAGATCTCTACCAGGCCGCCTGGCCCTTCTCGCCCCGAGGTGTTATCAATGAGTTTGTGCAAGTCCAAGCGGACCACAACCTCGTCGCACGAGAGGTTGCTCAAGATGCCATCACCCTGCTGAAGAACAATGGCAGTCTTCTTCCGATCGCGACATCTCGTTCCATCAAGGTCTTTGGCACCGCTGCACAGACAAATCCCGATGGCCCCAATGCGTGCGACTTCCGCAGCTGCAACAAGGGTGTTCTCGGCATGGGTTGGGGGTCAGGCGTGGTCGACTACATGTACATTGACGATCCCATCGGCGCACTGCGCAAGCGTGCCGGCAACGTCGAGTACTTTGCGACAGACAACTTCCCGCGGGTGCCAACGCCCAACGCGAACGATGTGGCCATCGTCTTCATCACTTCGGACTCTGGCGAGAACTCCTTTACCGTCGAAGGCAATAACGGTGACCGCAACTCCGCCGGGCTTCGAGCTTGGCACAACGGCGACCGTCTCGTGAAGGACGTTGCCGCGGCTTACAGCAACGTCATCGTCGTTGTTCAGACTGTCGGCCCCATTCTCGTTGAAGAGTGGATTGACCTGCCCAGCGTCAAATCCGTGCTCTTCCAGCACCTTCCTGGACAAGAAGCTGGCGAGTCGCTCACCAACGTCCTCTTTGGCAATGTTTCGCCTTCGGGTCACCTTCCCTACAGCATCACGCGTCGCGAGAAGGATCTTCCCGAGAGTGTCACCAAGCTCACGGGCGGTTCGACCGGACAGCCGCAGGATACCTTCTCCGAGGGTCTTTACATCGACTACCGTTATCTGAACAAGAACGGCATCAAGCCCCGCTTCGCTTTCGGACACGGCCTGTCCTACACAAGCTTCAACTTCACGAACCCCTCCATCAGCGCCGTGACACAGCTGTCACGTACCCCACCCGCGCCCCCGTCGCGAGCCCCCGTCCTCAACTTCAACCAAGCCATCCACCCCTGGCAGCAGGGCGTTGTGCCCGCCGGGTTCAGCAAGATTTTCCGTTACCTCTACTCGTGGTGCACCGAAGGCGAGGCCAAGCAGGCCGTCCGCGACCGTGAAGACGGCAAGAAGTACCCGTACCCGCCCGGCTACACAACGGTGCAGCCATCCGCGGTCCCAGCCAGCGGCGCCTCGGGCGGCAACCCCCGGCTGTTTGACGTCGCGTTCCGCGTGTCGGTGACGGTGCGCAACACGGGCGCGACGCACACGGGCCGTGCCAGCGTGCAGGCGTACGTCCAGTTCCCCGACGGCGGCCCGGAGACGCCGATTGTGCAGCTGCGCGACTTTGAGAAGACGTCGAGGCTGGCGCCGGGCGGCAGTCAGGTTGTCACGCTGGCGCTGACGAGGAAGGACCTCAGCATCTGGGATGTCGTGAGCCAGAACTGGATCGTCCCGTCGCCGGGCGGGCGGTACAAGATCTGGATCGGCGATGCCAGTGATAGGCTGTTTACTGCTTGCTACACGGACACGGGCAGGTGCGAGAGCGGACTTCAGAGCCCCGTGTAAGCGACGGACGGTCCTATTGTTTACTGAGCGTGTTTCTGACAGGGCTTGCCTGCGTAATTGTTCGTAGTTGATGATGGGATGACACGGTGATACAATAATGATGTTTTCCCTGCATGACCAAATGCTTGTGATGTGCCATCTGAACATGACTGTCGACCAGGTCTCATCTGCTTGATCAGACCTCGAATGGCAGGCACATTTTGTACTTGTACGGGCCACAAGGCAGACGTCGTGCCACCCGGCTTGTCAGCGCGAGCGCACCCCTGTCTCTGCCGCAGATGGGTGATTGGCGGTCACAAAATGAGAAGCGAACAAGACATGTGGGAAAACCCTGCACCATGGGGGGAAAAAAATAAGCGTCCTCAGCCCAGCACAATCAAGATCAGGAAGTGCAAAAGGCAAAAGAAGTGGACACGCCGGGAATTGAACCCGGGACCTTCAGCAGTTTAGTATTGATCAGATCAATGCTAAGCAGATGTCATACCCCTAGACCACACGCCCGTTTGTTGTTGGAGAGCAGGGTGTGTCATGGGTACATGTGGCGGCGGCAAATCACGCAGAGATGTGTGGTGGATCTGTGGTCTGTGAAATGAGCGCGGCTTTATTAGCCACTGATCCACCC